GATTTCGACATGAAATCGTGTCACTTTTATGTGCGCTAACATCTGCGAAGAGCGAAAAAACTCGTAAGTAGCCTTCTACTTTAAAATACTTAGACAATAATGCTAAGATAAGTACAGTCTTGTCGTTTTTGTGTACAACATTTTGCCGTAGTGGATCAATGGTGTGGATGTGTTTGTCTGTAGGTGAGGAATGGCTCAGGACCCCTTCTCTAAAATGGTAAAATAGTTCAAAGATGTTATGTGAAATATCTTACCAATAAAATTTAATTTAAAACCGATAATATAAAAATGTCAGTAACAGAGCTCAAAAACACTTTTTGAATATTATAAAATTCACACATTTCACATCAAATGTATAATTGTTGTTTTCGAACCCCCTATTCAAAAGTGCGGGCTACGGGTCTGCTACAGATCGTATTACTGTAAACTCCCAGCACGCCCATGTCACACGAGTGCCAATAGTTGTAATACTGTAAACTCCCTGGACACCCACGTCACATAAGTACTATAGATCGTATTACTGTAAACTCCCTGGACACCCACGTCACATAAGTACTATAGATCGTATTACTGTAAACTCCCTGGACACCCACGTCACATAAGTACTATAGATCGTATTACTGTAAACTCCCTGCTCACCCATGTGACATGAGTACTACAGATCGTATTACTGTAAACTCCCTGCTCACCCATGTGACATGAGTACTACAGATCGTATTACTGTAAACTCCCAGCACGCCAATGTCACATGAGTACCAATATTTGTAATACTGTAAACTCCCTGGACACCCACGTCACACGAGTACTACAGATCGTATTACTGTAAACTCTCAGCACGTCCATGTCACATAAGTACTATATATCGTATTGCTGTAAACTCCCCGCACACCCACGTCACATAAGTACTATAGATCGTATTACTATAAACTCCCTGCACACCCATGTTACATAAGTACTATTACTGTAAACTCCCTGCACACCCATGTCACATAAGTACTACAAATCGTATTACTGTAAACTCCCTGCACACCCACGTCACATAAGTACTATAGATCGTATTACTATAAACTCCCTGCACACCCACGTCACATAAGTACTATAGATCGTATTACTGTAAACTCCCTGCACACCCACGTCACACAAGTACTACAGATCCCATTACTCTAAACTCCCTATACGCCAATGTCACATAAGTATACTTGATCGTATTACTGTAAACCTCATACTATCACATTGATTACAATAATCATAATAGTAATAATCTTTATTGCATAATTGTATCCTTATTTGGATATTGCATCGGAAAGAGAAAATTACAATAAAGATGAAAAAACTGAGGAAGTACCAAAATGGAAGGGCTATAATTGAAAAGAATAATAATGAAAAAAAAGGTTTATTTTTTTTTAGGGACAGCTGGTAGTTTTTTCAAATGATTTTCTCTGGCACTAAAACAATTATAGATGTAGCTTGCTAGTTTTGTTTTGGTCGCAAGCAGTGAACTTGTTACCACTGCAAGGAATTGTTTCGTATTGTCCTTTCTCTACAGTATTTCTAAATTATGGGGCACTACTTCTCAATTTTGTAAATGCTGCTCTATGTTTTGCATTTGTTACTGTTGTTAAATAATTTTCATACTGGCAATTCTTCTTTAGCAGTTTATATGTATGCAGCTTATTCTTTTGTTTTTTATTATCATCATGCATTTGTTCTTGACTCTTGTCTTCGAATACTTTTTTGAATTTAATGCAAATTGTGTTGATTAGATTGGTGTTATAATTTGGATCATTATTTTCCCCCATGACTTATCCATTTCTAGATAGTGCAAAATATTTTGATTCCAGATACCAAATTAAGTATACCTTTACCATCCATCTCTGTGACAAGTCTGTATGCTTTATAGACTAGTGTTTTCATTCTTTGTTTTAGCCAATAATGTATCATTTGTTTTATACTAGTTGATTGTCATATGTTTAATTACCAACAAAAAATACAGCGTCAATGCCGTTTTTTTCTCATTGCGTCACCTTACGCATTATAGGTATTATCTATTTGTCTCAAAACACAATCCCCAGAATTCTATGATTGTTATAATGTTATTTCCTTTCGTTCAGAGTTTTAAATCGTCCACTAATTATTCACCATTAGCTCGTCAACGGATATATATTGTCGCAATCTAATCCACAGAATGGAAAAAAGGGTCAACCCAACTATCATTATATGAAGTGCATCCGTGCAGCTACATATAAATGAACAATTCTGAGAGAGAATATAGAAAAAGGTCTTTGAGATGAAGTTGAAAATGTAGACAATACCTGTGTTTGCACGAGTTGATAACATGTGAAATATTTAATGGCATTAGAGGTTAAGATTATCACCCAACAGATGTTCACCATCAATATATGGCAAATTTGATCAAAGAAGTTTTTGAAATTTTGCTTAAACAGGCTAAAATGAAGTAATATGCAAATTAGCTACTTAATCTGCACTGACATGGCCCTAAAACTTTCTACACACAGGAGCTAAAAATAATAACATCTGAAAAAATTTGCCAGTGAGGTTGCCGCAAAACAATTCACCAGGATATTGCACTCTACATACTTTATCATTCAAAGCCATGTGTGCTTCATAAATCCCAAACAAGAAAATTACTCTCACATGTATGCTGAAGATACGGTCCTTGAAACAGTTAAAACAGCATTTCTTAAAAGAATTTTTTTGTTTTATTTTCTAAAAGTATTTTAAAGTAAAAAAATTAAATAAACTACTCAAAACAATTAAAGGAACACTTGAATATTCTCAGTTACAGCAAGGTCCTTTATTTCAGATAAACCCATTTGGTCACATAATTGACGTGAAACATCTGCACAATGAAACAGATGATAAGGAATGCATGTAATCATCACACATTTCGTTACATGAGTTCTGAAAGAGAGAAAGGTTGAAAATAAAAATCCCAGTTCATGGAACATTTCAATAATGAGTGTGACCGCCTTTTGCAGTAACACATGCAACACAACGTCGCCTCATCGATGACACTAATCTCTGCCGTGAACGTTGTGGTATCGCTTACCGCTCCTGGATCAGCCAATGAGCTAGCTAACGACGATCCACTGGTGAGGGATGATTGCCCATAACACTAAGACCAAGTTCATCCCACAAATGTTCAATTGGTGCCATGTCAGGTGAATAAGCAGGCCAATCCATTCTGTTGATGTTGTGTTGGCGTAGAAAATCTGTGTGGTCTGGCATTATCATCCTATAGGACTGCCGCAGCTCCTATCCTCTGTAGACAAGGTAACACAATAAGTTGCTGGATCTCATCTCTGTAACTTAATCCAATTAAATTGCCATTAATAACATGGAGAGGGGTCCTTTGGTGGTAGCTGAAGCCACCCCCATACCATAATGCTGCCACCACCAAACTGGTTGTGCTGTCTGATGGTGGCATTAGTTACAGTTCAGTTACGAAGGGCTGAAATAAGGAGGTAGCGGTCCTCAGCAGGAATTGTGACACGTGGATGACCTGACCTGGGTCTTCTGTGTATTGTATGGGTCTCTCTGAAGCACTGGGATAGTCTGTGAATAACAGATGGGCTCACATTTAGCCTTCTTGCAGCTTTTCGCAAGGAAACCAGCCTATGGCCCTGGCTCTTTCTTCAATTGTTAAATGTCGACGTGGAGGCATGCTTGCAAAAGCTGCGACAACGCCATTAGTGAGTGTATTCTGATTACCATAATTGGAAGATGTGATCACAAGGATGCATTATGTACAGGGAAAAAACTCAACATTCTTCGAAGCATAAGAATTAGAGCAGGTGTGTGATGAACAATTTTCCCCTGAAAGAATATGTAACTGTGAAATTGAGGTCGCACCTATTCTCATATACTGGGTTAGAAAATAATTTAGACATGTGTGGCAGATTAAAAACTGCTATTGTGGCAATATTGGGGTCATATGACATAGTTTAACATGGTCCAACTGTATTTATTGTAAAAACTCAGGTGTTCCTTAAATTGTTTTGAGTAGTATATAAAAGAATTATTACAGAAAATAAGAGAAAAAACACTATTTAATGCATCACAACACACCAGACTGATTGCTTGGCTTCTACTTGCATTGCATCAAAGAAGTAATCAATGTTAGAGAATGTAATAATTGTTTGCAGAAAACTCATTATCATGGAAATTATTAAAATATTCGTAAAATATTTACGATGGAAAAGACTAATGCTCCATTCAAATCCAATGGCTATATAATAATCCATTCATTATCCATGAGACTGTGCAAGGTTCCTACAATTATTGTTGAATTCCGGTGACTGACATGTATCCGCTAAGCCATTGTGATTTGTTTTCCAAAAATAATGTTTTGTTAATTATTATATTTAAATTGTGCTTTTATATTGATTAGTCTTAAATTTTTATTTTACATTTCTGCCTTCACTGGTAGATGTGATGACCAGTAACATTAAAATGGTTGCCTGGGCAACAAATGACAGGCTTGTAAGTGCACTCCATATTCTTCTGCAAAAAATTAGTTATTTTTAAAATTTACACAAAGAAATGCATTAACCCTGTACATACTTCATATTATCAAAACAGGAAAGAAATGTTTTATCCACTGCATAACAAATAAAATAATCTCATATTTATCACTAAATATTACATAATTTAATAATGCTACTTGAACTAAACCAGCAATAAATTGTTATATAACAAATGTTTATAAAAGATACGTCAACATTTTATTTCCCCAATCATTACCATAAAAATATACCTTTATACCATTTTTTTTTTAAATATGGAAAGTTAAAAATTATAAATACCCTCTAACGGTATATACATTCCTAGTCCTCAAGGTCAAATCAAATCAGTCAAGTTATATTGCAATGCCACCACAAAACAAGATAAGTTCCTTGGAATTTAAAACAGCAAAGCATGACAAATTTAATAATATTTCAAGAATTTCCTGTTCCAAAACTCTGTTACTTATGATGTTCTCAACCACGCACAGTTCTTAAATAGTCTTTATATTCTAGACCCATTATAAGATTAGGATGCTTATCTAAAGTGAAAAATAAGTTCAGAGATGCCTTGAGATCAGCCGTGTTTGCACCAATTGATCTGTATAAAATCATAAGTCCCTCACTATGAGCTGATTCCACTAGAGCACTTCCCACGGCTTGGCTTTGCAGACGTATCAGATTAGCTGTTGCTTCACCAGTAGCATTTAATTCTCTTGCTGTAAACAACACAGATATAGATATGAACATTATGTTATACTAACCGACATACATGCATGCATGTACACCAATTTAAGACCTTATCCTCGAAATTCTATGCACTCCAAATTACAACTATTGGCTACCTAACCAAACTATAATCACTTGCTCCCTAACCAAACTATAATGACTTGCTGTCTAACCAAACTATAATCACTTGCTCCCTAACCAAACTATAATCACTGTCTGCCTAACCAAACTATAATCACTTGCTCCCTAACCAAACTATAATCACTGTCTACCTAACCAAACTATAATCACTGTCTGCCTAACCAAACTATAATCACTGGCTATCTAACCAAGCTATGATCACTGTCTACCTAACCAAACTATAATCACTGTCTACCTAACCAAACTATAATCACTGGCTATCTAACCAAGCTATAATCACTTGCTCCCTAACCAAACTATAATCACTGGCTACCTAACCAAACTATAATCACTGGCTATCTAACCAAGCTATAATCACTTGCTCCCTAACCAAACTATAATCACTGGCTACCTAACCAAACTATAATCACTGGCTATCTAACCAAGCTATAATCACTTGCTCCCTAACCAAACTATAATCACTTGCTCCCTAACCAAACTATAATTACTTGCTGTCTAACCAAACTATAATCACTTGCTCCCTAACCAAACTATAATCACTGGCTACCTAACCAAACTATAACCACTTGCTCCCTAACCAAACTATAATCACTGTCTGCCTAACCAAACTATAATCACTGGCTATCTAACCAAACTATAATCACTGTCTACCTAACCAAACTATAATCACTTGCTATCTAACCAAGCTATGATCACTGTCTACCTAACCAAACTATAATCACTGGCTATCTAACCAAACTATAATCACTTGCTCCCTAACCAAACTATAATCACTGGCTACCTAACCAAACTATAATCACTGGCTACCTAACCAAACTATAATCACTGTCTACCTAACCAAACTATAATCACTTGCTCCCTAACCAAACTATAATCACTTGCTCCCTAACCAAACTATAATCACTTGCTCCCTAACCAAACTATAATCACTTGCTCCCTAACCAAACTATAATCACTTGCTCCCTAACCAAACTATAATCACTGTCTGCCTAACCAAACTATAATCACTGTCTACCTAACCAAACTATAATCACTGTCTACCTAACCAGACTATAATCACTGTCTACCTCACCAAACTATAAACACTGTCTACCTAACCAAACTATAAACACTGTCTACCTAACCAAACTATAATCACTTGCTCCCTAACCAAACTATAATCACTTGCTCCCTAACCAAACTATAATCACTTGCTCCCTAACCAAACTATAATCACTGTCTACCTAACCAAACTATAATCACTGTCTGCCTAACCAAACTATAATCACTGTCTATCTAATCAAACTATAATCACTGGCTATCTAACCAAACTATAATCACTTGCTCCCTAACCAAACTATAATCACTGGCTACCTAACCAAACTATAATCACTGGCTATCTAACCAAGCTATGATCACTGGCTATCTAACCAAACTATAATCACTGGCTATCTAACCAAACTATAATCACTTGCTCCCTAACCAAACTATAATCACTGTCTGCCTAACCAAACTATAATCACTGTCTATCTAATCAAACTATAATCACTGGCTATCTAACCAAACTATAATCACTTGCTCCCTAACCAAACTATAATCACTGGCTACCTAACCAAACTATAATCACTAGCTATCTAACCAAGCTATGATCACTGGCTATCTAACCAAACTATAATCACTGGCTATCTAACCAAACTATAGTCACTTGCTCCCTAACCAAACTATAATCACTGGCTACCTAACCAAACTATAATCACTGGCTATCTAACCAAGCTATGATCACTGGCTATCTAACCAAACTATAATCACTGGCTATCTAACCAAACTATAATCACTTGCTCCCTAACCAAACTATAATCACTGTCTGCCTAACCAAACTATAATCACTGGCTACCTAACCAAACTATAATCACTGTCCACCTAACCAAACTATAATCACTTGCTTCCTAACCAAACTATAATCACTGGCTACCTAACCAAACTATAATCACTGGCTATCTAACCAAGCTATGATCACTGGCTATCTAACCAAACTATAATCACTGGCTATCTAACCAAACTATAATCACTGTCTGCCTAACCAAACTATAATCACTGGCTATCTAACCAAACTATAATCACTGTCTACCTAACCAAACTATAATCACTGGCTATCTAACCAAGCTATGATCACTGTCTACCTAACCAAACTATAATCACTGGCTATCTAACCAAACTATAATCACTTGCTCCCTAACCAAACTATAATCACTGGCTACCTAACCAAACTATAATCACTGGCTACCTAACCAAACTATAATCACTGTCTACCTAACCAAACTATAATCACTTGCTCCCTAACCAAACTATAATCACTTGCTCCCTAACCAAACTATAATCACTTGCTCCCTAACAAAACTATAATCACTTGCTCCTTAACCAAACTATAATCACTTGCTCCCTAACCAAACTATAATCACTGTCTGACTAACCAAACTATAATCACTGTCTACCTAACCAAACTATAAACACTGTCTACCTAACCAGACTATAATCACTGTCTACTTAACCAAACTATAATCACTTGCTCCCTACCCAAACTATAATCACTTGCTCCCTAACCAAACTATAATCACTTGCTCCCTAACCAAACTATAATCACTGTCTACCTAACCAAACTATAATCACTG